AAGAAAGAGCAAAAACAACTGAAAAAGATGACACCAATTTCAGCTTTCTAGGATAAATCGTTCTTGCGAAATGGCCCCAAAACTATTCTTAAAACACACCATATTTCGAGGTTTTATATTGTTTTGAAAATTTAAACTCAAAAACCGGAAAATAAATAAATAACTGAAAAAATTACAATAAAAAGTAAAATTTTGTATTTATTTTTATATTAATGCAGTAAACAAATAACCAAAAAATTATCAAAACCCAAGATCATCTGGGTACGGCCCTGGTAGATTTGATATGGAATGGATATACATCATGTAATTATACAGTATACATTAGGTAACATAAAATTAAGTTCCAAGCAAATTAAATAAAATTTCCTAACTTTTTTAAAAATTATTTTTAATTTGGTAAAAAAAGTAAATATAATCCACCACATCAAGGTGATGAAATTCTTTAAAAACTATTTTATTTTACTTATCTGAAAGAGAAGTTAATTACCTTGAATACATTCACTGTATTTTAGATCTGATATTATACATAAACTAGTTGTCCCGTGCGAAAAATTCGCAGAAAATTTTGTTTATTGAAGAACTAGTAAAACAATATGGAAATAAGTAGTTCCTATGTATTATGTAAGAAAGGAATTAATATTTTTTTCTTGATCGATTACAATATTTCATTAAACATAATAAACCAAAATATTTATATAAATTGCTTTGCTAGGGTCTATTTTTAAACACTGACTGAAAAGATGATAAAAGTAATAAAGACAAAATAATGCCCCGATCATAGGATATTCTAAATTATTAAAAAAAATAAAATGTAAGAACAACTAAATGTATTTAAGAAATAATATAGGTAATATAAAAGCCAGGAAAAAAAATTTAGTAGACTATTCTACTCCTAAATGCAATAACTTTAAACAGGAACACATTAATAAGTATACCGAAACTAATGGAAGGTATCTTATAACTAAAACATTCATAACTCCTCAGGATTTTATCCTAATTCAATGTTTCTCCAACCGTTGGAAAGCTGAATTATCGCTCTTCAAGACCGTATAAATAACTTTTTGATTTAGCACCCCTATAAAGAGTAAATAAATAAAAACTCCTAATAGATTTTTGTTTTATAACTTGAGTTCTAAATTATTTAGGAAGGTACATTTTGTGTCATTTAGTGTAGTTCATAAGACCCTCTATCCCTGCAATATTTCGTGTGAATATGTGGAAGAATATGGAAGCTATAACACTTTTTGTAATTTTCGAAAAAATATCAAAGGCTCCTCCCTTAGGTCAAATAAGCAGGGGAAAAAAATTATTTTTCGATTACAATGAAAATTCATATTCGTGGGTCTTTGGAGCTGCGAAATACAAATCTCAACTCTCTTCCAAAATATTTCATTTTTACATATTTCTAATAGATTTTTACAATTTTTTTTTTGTTTTGTAGGTAATTTAGTAATCTTTCTAATTATCATGGGTACAATCAAGAAAAAATGCATCCTTTTTGAGTTATTCACAAATAAAGTTTCTTTTCCTCCATAACTTTTCCTCCACAAATTTCGGTGGGATGAAAATATTTTTTGCATGTGAAGGAGTAGAATATCTTCGAAATGAGTGGTCAATCATTGGATTTGATGAAGAATGAAGTTATGGCGTACCGACAAAAAAACATATTTTAGAAATAATAAATGGGAAAATTAAGTACATATTGTTTCTTTTATTTTTAAAATTGTTTTGCAACATTTAATAAATTAAATTAATGAATAATTTGATTAATATACCAAAATCAGAATGGAAATCAGATTATCCACTTAGAATTTGTATGGAACTGTGGACCTATGGTTGGTAGGCAATGAAACACTTGCTACTACATTTTAGTTAATATTACCAGGGAAATATAAGAGTTATTCAGATTTAGTTACTGTTTAGTACAATACTTCCTCACTTATAGATTAAGTATATAGGTGTAATTTCAAATCTCTCTTTGTATACAGATATCAGAAACTGGAATGATGTGGTTCAAACAGATATAAGATTATGAAATTTTCATTGCATGTAGTCGATATAATAAAAAGAATTTGTTATATTTTAATGGGCAGAAAAAGTTTTACTTCTTACATTATTTTCAAAAACCTTAAGACATTGATGATCCTTAATCTAAGCAGTCACACTTTGCATTCATAAAGAACCGTTGGAAGAATAACATTTTTTTAAATTCTAATTGTTGTTTTGGAACAACAGGCTAGTGTTAAATAGTTTTGGAAGAGCAAAGTAGTAAGAATTTCCTGCCGTTAACCTAGCCACCCACTTCAATTTCATTTTTCTTGTTACTGTGAACCCTAAATATCTAACCTTCCCTACTTCTTCAGTTATTCCCTTCTATATCTATAACACCTAAATAATCATTTTGCCACTAACCACATATTTTGTCTTGTCTTTAATTGTTTCAAGCCCCAGCTCTTTACCAGCTTTCATCAACATTGTATTTAATTTTATAGTTTCCGTATTTTTATTCAACAGTACTTAATCATCAGCACTGCAGCACTGCCTTTGGTCTGACAATATATTATTGTACTTTTTGGACAACACACTAAATATGATCCTATAGTTCTAGAGCCATCTATCTTTATCTCTGGTGGGATCCATTGTTTAGGTATTGCTGGGTATCTTGAGTGTTGCTAAGTTAAAAGAGGTCTTATTGAAAATCTCCTTTTTTGAAGTCAGTTAAAAGTATTATCTTATTATAAGTAGTAGTAGTATTACCTAATTAAAAATGTGGAAAATGGTTTAATAAGACATAATTACAAAAAATATAAACAACTTTAATATTTAATTTACAGTCATGAATATACCAATAATTTGCAAAACCTTTTTATTTAAAAAAAAAAAGAAAATGCTTTTTTAAATATTTGTTTTCCTCTTTTATAAATAAATATTTTTATATTTATACATATATATGACAATAAATAAGAGTTATAAACAACAATAAATTGCACATTATATAAAATGGTTCATATATACACTTTAACACTAAAAAGTTATCTGTTTACAACAATAATTGGAAATATATACAATTCTTAATCCACAAAGTTAACATAATATATAGTTTTTCAAAAACCTTCACTAGGAGTGAAAAAATAAATATCATGGACAAATAGGATTTGCAAAAATTCACTTTGTACTGAACATAAACTAGGTGATGACAATAAATATCACAGAGATTTCTACTACATTTAGGAAAAATGTTTACATAAAGAAAGGTACAATGTTGTCAAACTATAAACATATTAAATAGACACAGTACAAGAGCATTTTATGAAAATATTTATCATAACAGGTTGAGTACAGAATTGTAAATATCACTGTAATACTGATAAATAAATACTACATATTTTTTTCCCCAATAACTAACAGAAAAATGTGGCAAAATAAAAAAAAAAAAGTTGATTATTAAAAATCAAGTATTTGTTGACTTAGTATTTATAGTTCTGTACTATTAATGATCAGAAAATTCTGGATCTAGATAAAGATATAGAGTAACTACTCTTCTCTAATTAAATGATACAAAAAAAAAAAAAAGACTTTTTACAAATACATCCAATCAAATTAATCTGTGCTTAGTAAAATAACACACACACACATATATATATATGTGTATATATATATATGTGTGTATGTATATATATATATATATATATATATATATATATATATATACAAACATAAATCTACGAGAAAAAAACAAAAATAATTAAATGAAATTTGTCCAGTAAAACCGCTATATGTTACACTTCTATTTATCCAAATCATTTGCAAAAACCATGAATAATTGTTTTTATAAAGTTCTGTAGTCACACAACATTACTCTATTACAAAGTAAGAATTAACTAATGTTTACCGTATTTTCTTCCCACTGAATAAGAAAACCTAAATTAACTCTTTCAAGACTAACAAATTCTTCTTCAATTAAGAAGGCTAAGAAAATAATTTAAACAACAAACTTTTTGAAAATTTGTGAACCTTCAATTTTGTGTCAGAATATATTAGCAAATATATGAAAATATGAAGTCGTACTGTTATGATAAGAAATTATTTTGGTTAAGTTAATCCATATAAAAAAGTTGTAAAGAAAATCAAGACACAGAAAATAAAGAACAAATAAACGCCTAGCAATTAGTATTTCGGCTAATAAAACATTGATGAGGAATAATTTTATATTTAATTAAGCCGATAAATTGATGAGCACATTTGATTAAGTATATATGTATAAACTATAGAAATTTCAGTTTATGGAAACAACGATTTTTCATCATGGACTCTCTTAATTAGATGTGCTCATCAATTAATGAGATTAAATATATATATATATATATATATATATATATATATATATATATATATATATAATTAGAAATCTTCAATTTGAATAAATAGAAATTCAATATATAGAGGTATAATAAAACATAATTATGTATACATAATGTGATTTCAGATCCAATGATACAGGAACAAAGTATATTGATGATATTATAAAATCATTTAATTAAGAAACCACATTTTTTCTATATAGTGCAAATGAACCAATAGAATGAAAAAAAATGTAAACAATATATCTTTTATTCCGTTTCATATACGTTTATATAATATTTAAAGTCAATCGTGAAGAACAAATTAAGCCTGGTAATTATAAATTATAAATTTTTGTTCTAGCCTTATTTTAAATAGAAAACTATACTTATAAGACAAATAACCCATGATTGTAGAAGGAAAATGTATGCTAAGCAACATAGACTAGAGTTAGTTAACTACCTTAATGAAATAAAATTCTAAAAATTGTAATCAAACTTTAAAAATATAAATTCAATAACAAAATTAGAATTTTTTTTTTCGTAATAAAGTAAATACCTAATATAGGCTAGAGAATAAAGGTAGATTAAACCAAGCCAAGAGACTACCACATCCTGTAGCTTTCATCTGTTATTTTACCTAATCAAACTTCAATTTGAGCAAGTCATTTATTTTTTCTTCTGTTTTTGTGTAATTACCAATGAATTAGAACCAATTATACCTCAATAAAAGGTACAATAACACTAAAAATTAGCAGTTTGCAATACACATTTTTTTTTTTGTAATAGCTAAGTTGTAATGCAATGATTGTACCTATCATGAACTTATAAATATTGTTCTAACACAGAAACTGATAAAAACAACATTCTTTGAAACAGACACTCAGAGTAACTATCATGATTAAAAGCAAATATATATATACAATCATCAATTCATCACTGCATTATGTCAGTCAGAAATTTATAAGCAACTTATCATTAAATTAAATTCACAAAACATTTCATAAATTATGTATCTGCTATGAAAAATTGAGTCAGATCTACTTATCAAGTTCGTTTCTAAGATCAATGAAATTCAGAGCTGTAAAGTAATTAACACAATGGAATGTTCATTAATCAAAGTGAATGTGATATAATTTTAAAAACAGCTTCTTTCCCCAATATTTTTTTTTAAATGCCTACACCTTCAACAGATCTGAGATCAATATTTCCTGAGGCAGTTTTACACAAGTTTTATTTTTTCTTTAATAATTAATCTAAATTAAAGACTATCTTTGGAATGGTTTAACATTAGTACCTTTAACAATGTTCCTTTATATTTAACCACAAGTAATTGCCACTCAATTTACTTGCAATACACTCATTAACATGTATAAAATAGTATACATTAACTGCACTCATACATACATGCTCTTAGTATAGATTAACATCTAAATAGTTTGTGAAAGTTGATATGCATGATTAATATGACTCACAGAAGTCTGAACTATAACAGGTTCTCAACTGGTAATAATAGTTCTGGTATCAATGTAAGTGGGTATCAGTCTGGTAGTGGCTGAAGGTAGTCATGAGGAGGTCTTGGATTTGGGCTCAGGTAGCCATCAACCTCGAGACAGTCTGAGGCAATGGTGAACTCCGAAGGGGTTCGGTTATTATTGTTTTCATTAAGTAATTTCTCATGAAGTTCGATAAAGTTAATTCTATCTCTTGGTTCAGTCTTCCAGCAAGACCTCATCAGTTCACAAATGAAAGGTGGACAATCTTCGGGTGGTATCAACATTATACCCTGTAAAATCAGCTTTACCACCTGTAAAATTAATGTATAAACATCATTTAGTGAATATTTTTCAAATAAATAAAAATATTATGGTTATTGTGGTTTAACAGCAAAATTGAAACATTAAACTTAAGAGGATATTTACAGGTATATTTGAATCTCTTATGGTAGAATTATTAATAACTATAATATAAAAAATCATAAATAAAATGTATGTTACAAGTTTAAACCATCACAAGTCTCTCTCACCTCTTCATTAGAATGTCCAAAGTAAGGCTGCTTTCCTAAGCTGTATATTTCCCATAATACAACTCCAAAAGACCATATATCTGATTCTAAAGTGAATCTTCCATAAGTGACACTCTCTGGTGACATCCAACGTACTGGCAGAAGTCTGGAACCTCCAATCTATAAAAACACTTTTTTTACTATTCAGTTTATACATTTCTGTATAGGTATAGAGGTAAATCATTTTTATCTTTATTTCATCACTAACATTAATCTTTCACTCTGACTTTGTTTGTAACACCAGTAGGTGAACAGTATATGGAATGCACCTTGCTTTTTTGGTAGTGATTAATGTTGTCTTTCTGTTGTTTAAATTATAAATTCACTATATTGTATTTTAATATGTATTTATACAATTTATAATAGTATTTGTTTTAACTTAATTTTATGATAGCGAAAGAAACATGTTTACTTTTTTATATTTTGTATATTAAATATAAGGCAGGACATATTAAATATAAGAAATAAATAAAACTTACATAAACTTTATTCCTTCCTATTTTTTCTGAGGTATATACTACAAATATGAAAATAATTTTAAGTACAAGACCGTAGACAATTATCAACAAAATCATTAGAGCCATTTAGGCATTGCAGTCTATGAAAAAAACAAGTTTTTTTGTGATATATCGATTATACCAATCAGTGATTGAGTTGTATTAACCCTGACAGTGTTATCTTTGATGATGAATAAAATAGTTGTGTTCACTAATATTGTAGTTTTGTGCTTTAGTATTCCAAGTACTTAACATTTGGCGAGGAGGATAAAAGTAATGAAGAAAGGTACTTCGTGGGTGTATGAATTAAAGAAACAAGACTTGATTTTAAAACTAAAAGAATTAGGTTTGGTTTTTGATGAGGCTGATTAGATAGGTTAAGGCAAATTTTAGTGCAGGAATTGAGAAGTGAAAATAAAGAAGAAAGCAAGGAAATTAGTGAAAACGTAACCCAAGTTAAAACAAAGAATAAAGGAGTAAGCTACAGGATCGTGATCTGTAAAATTGAATTTCGTTTACATGAGGATGACTGGGACACTTTTATTGAAAGGTTAGAACTGTGTTTCATTGCACATGATATCGAAGAAAGTAAGTATGTACCAGAACTGCTTATAAAGGTGAGTGCAGAAACCTACATTCTTATTAGAAATTTAGCAATACCTAAAAACCTAATGAACCTTTCATATAAAGAAATCGTTTCTTTAATGTTTAAGCACTTAAATCTTAAATCTTCGGAACTATCAGAAAGACATAAATTTAGCAATATATATCAATTAGCGTCAGAAATAATAAATGATTTTGTAGCCCGTTTGAAAAGAGCATCTATGCACTGTAGCTTTCCCGATGTTGAGATGTCACTAAGAGATCAGTTTGTTTGCGGTATAAAGAATCATGAGACACGAGTTGAATTATTTAGAAAAGAGAAGGTTTCATTTTCAGATGCTTTGAAAATCGCAGAGACCAGGGAACTGGCAATGGAAAGTGCTTCTAACACCGCAGGCACTAGCAACTCATCGGATAACCTGTGCTCGCAGGTAAACTATATCAGAGGAAATACAGACAGCAACAAATCACCTAAAGGTGGAAGTCTAGAATTAACTCAAGGGCGGTCTAGTTATGGGAAGATGCAGTGTAAAGAAGACTTAATTAAAAAAGGTAATACACATCCATCATTATTTAATAGCAATAAAAACAGTTTTAGTTGCTTTTGTTGCAGTGAGATTAGCAATCACTATGCTAGAGAATGTATCCACAGATTTAAAGTGTGTAACTTTTGTTATGTCAGGGGGCATTTGGAAAAAATGTGTCCAAAAAAACGGAACAAAAGAGTAAAGCAAAGAGTAAATTATTTAGAAGAGGGCATAAAAACAGAAGACGATAGTAATAATGAACAAAATTTTTTTCACTTAGAACAAATTCTTTTAGAGGACATTGAACTATCGAATGCGAATTCGATGAATATGGAATCCAAGGCGGAACCGTTGGTCATTGATTTGTCAATAAATGAAGTTAAAATTACAATGCAAATAGACACCGGATCATATGTAACAGTGATAACAAAAGAATCGAAAGATCGATATTTTTCACATACAGCAATGATCGAACCTGACCTAACCTTAACAACATATGGTAAAAACGATTTGAAGCCTATAGGGATGCTAACAAATTTGAAAGTGTCATTTAATGATAAGGAAGTAAATGATGTAAAATGCTATGTTTTACCAGGGAGCGCTCCCTCTTTGTTGGGAAGAAGCTGGCTTAACAAACTTGGCATGTGGCCATTCAAACTAGAATTAAATTATTGTAATTCAGAGGATACAAGTGAGAAAGTAATGGCTAAGATTAAGTCATTATTCCCGACATTATTTAGTCCAGGGCAAGGAGTTTATACAGGAAAAAAGGTTAAATTGTTTTTAAAAAAGACACAATGCCTGTACAATTAAAACCATATAGGGTGCCTTTTGCACTTAAAGACAAGGTAAAAAGAGAAATAAAAAGATTAATTTCCGTAGGTAATCTAGAGCCTGTGACGGTTAGTAGTTGGGCGACACCTATAGTGCCTGTCCTAAAATCCAATGGGGAAGTTAGAGTGTGTGGTAACTTTAAGTTAACCGTCAATCCACATTTAATTATCAAGCGTCAACCTGTGCCAAGTAAAGAAGAGATTTTTAGTAAATTACAAGTAGGTAGTAAATGGTCCCAGATTGATTTAGCACATGCATTTATGCAATTCAGAGTTGATGAAAGTTCTAAAGAAGCACTAACGATTATTACAGATGGTTTATTTCAATATACCAATATACCAATATTCAATATACCAAACTACCGGAGGGCGTGGCGTCCAGCCCTGGAGAATATCAGGAAATTTTAATGGAAATACTTAAGGGAATTCCTTACACTGAAATTTACATAGATAATATTTATTGTACAGGTAGAACAGATGAAGAGCACATTTCTATCATAGCTGAAATATTTAGGCGCTTAAATGAAGCAGGCTTAAAAGTAAATGAAAGAAAGTGTGAATTTTTAAAAAGTAAGTTGGAGATTTTAGGATTTGTTCTGGATAAACAAGGAATTCATCCAGCAGAAAGTAAGGTTATTGCAGTCACGGGTGCTCCAAGGCCTAAAGATTGCAAACAGTTAAGGAGTTTTCTTGGATTGGTGAATTATTATGAATCATTTCTGAAGCACAGAGCTGATAAACTGAGTTGTCTTTATGATTTGCTGAAGTCAGAAAAGTGGTATTGGTCCGAAGAATGTGAGGAAAGCTTCAAATGGATCAAGAGGCAAATCGTGTCCGACAAGGTATTGACATTGTTTGATCCGAATGAACAATTAGTCCTGTCATGTGATGCCAGTCAATACGGACTGTCAGCGATCCTTTCTCATAAATTCAAGAATGGAGAGGAAAAACCCATAGCATTTGCATCGAAAGTAATTCCGGTAACTGAGAGGCATAGGGCAATCATTGATAAAGAAGCTGCTGCCATCATCTTTGGCTTCAAGAAATTTTACCAGTATGTCTATGGAGCTCACATAATTCTTAGAACAGACCATGAACCTTTGAAATACATTTTTGGAAATTACAAAAATCTATCTGTCACAATTCAAAATAGATTACAAAGATGGGCTTATTATCTTTCAGGATTCACTTACAGTATAGAAGTCGTAAGGTCCTCAGGAAACGGTAACTGCGATGCCTTGTCAAGATTGCCTTTGAATGACCACACTCCGGTATTTGATACAGAATTTACAGCTCTTAACTATGTGGAAGAAGGGATGCCTGTGTTGAATTACAAACAAGTGGTCACTGAATCAGTGAAAGATAGAATATTAAGCAAGGTGATAAATTGGGTAGCCGCGGGGTGGCCAACTGAAAATAAGAATTTATCTGAAATCGAAAAGAAGTTTTTCTCAAAGAAACTAGAATTATCGCTGGATAAAGGATGTCTCATGTGGGGAATAAGAGTGGTTATACCAGAATCACTTCGACTTATCTTACTGAAGCATTTACACACATCACACCTTGGTATAACTAAGATGAAGCAAATGGCAAGATCTTATTTTTGGTGGCCGAACTTGGATTTAGATATTGAAAATTACGTTGGAAGTTGCTTCACCTGTGTAGCGAATAAAAAGAATCAAACCAAAATTGCGAATTCGCAGTGGCCTTATCCAAGCAAAGCTTGGTCTCGACTACACGCTGATTTCTTAGGTCCTTTACGAAATAGGATGTTTTTAGTTGTCATAGATGCCCACAGCAAATGGCCAGAAGTTTTTGACATGAGAGATAATACGAAAGCCTGGAAGGTTATTCAAATCTTCAAAAAGTTATTTGTCAGACACGGATTGTGTGATCATTTGGTTACTGATGGAGGACCCCAATTCACAAGCAGTTTATTCAGAAACTTTTTGAAAAGGAATGGTATAAGGCATACAGTAACACCTCCAAAACATCCAGCAACAAATGGAGCTGCAGAAAATTTTGTCGGTATGTTCAAAAATAAAATGTGCAAGATGTTAAAATCTGGGCTATCAGTCGAGTATGCTATGGACAATTTTCTTTTAGACTACAGGCGAATAGAGCATTCTACTACCGAAAGATCACCAGCTTATCTTATGTATAAAAGAGAAATTAAAACGAAATTTGACCTTCTGAAACCAAATGTGAATAATAATGTGGAACTTAAGCAGTGCCAATCCCTCTTAAGAAATGAATCATCCCATTGTATCAACTTTCAGATAAATGATGAAGTAATGGTAGATGATTTTAGTGTAAATGCCACAAATAAGAGGACTCGAGGAAGAATAAAAAAGCAACTGTCTCCTGTAACATTTTTAGTTGAAACAGACGATGGTATTACATGCAAACGCCATGTGGACCAAATCGTCAGATTTCTCCCTGGGAAAAAAATAAGAGAAGAGGATATTTCCATAAATCAACAAGAGAGCAACCAAATAATTAGTCATGGAAGTGGGAGCCCTCCTTGAGAGCTGCAGAAGACTCAGTTATTTGTGTTCTTAGTTTTATACAAGACTTATATGTAATTTTGATAATTTTTTTCATGTTTTTAATGTTTTTATGTTTCATATATGTTTCTATTTTTGTAACTATGATACACT